GGGAAAGAGAGTGTGTTTAATCACTAGGTAGCTGCCCGTCTTCTCGCGCGGTAATAGCTTCCACATAGGAGCCCCCTCACGTCCTGCAGCTTATGACAGATACAATTCATCCCTTTCACTTCCAGGACACTTCTTCAACATGATTTCAAGACCGAGTCTGTCAAAAGTTGCCTAGTCCTTTGATCACCTTCTTTTTTGCTGGGAACAAGTCAGTCTTTAATTTCTCGTAGCCTATGATGCAATGACTCTTTTCATTCAGGGAGGATGACAGCAATGTCATATAATGATAACCTGATCCTGCACATGAATAAATGGAGCATAGCTATCAGCTTCTAGGCTTTCACTGCCTGGCTGCAATAAGTTGCAAGCTTTCTTCCCCGAGGGCTGGGAATTAACACATCATAGATTGTGCTACCCAACTATGCCTGTTGTGTTCCCTCTACAGGATTGAGGTATTCTTACCTGATGCCATTGCCATCTCCCTTGAATTAAACTGTTACGAAATTGTCATATGATGGTATTTTTTAATTAAAAAAAAACCAAACAACTATGAAGAGATACTGTGTTTGTCAAAACTTCCACGTGTCTTGCAACATTTCCATTATGGAGATTTTAAGTTCATGTCACGTGGAGCCTGGGTACGCTTCTTAAAGCTACAGTAGGCAGAGTGGGGATGACATTCTCTTGAACTGCTCTTTATGCTATGTCACACTGATACATTGAAGTGCTGGCAGCGGTGGGAATGCAGTCCTACATCTGTAAAAATTTAGTCACTTAAGCACTTGTACACACGACATACATGTGCTTCATAAGATCTGACATGTCTGCAGTCACATTCTGTACTTCTGTTCCACCCAGCTTGCCACAAACACACCTAAATCCTTCATAGCTTTGAAGTCTGGGGGGGACAGGATGATGTTTTGATTTGGGTTTTTTTTTTTTACTATGTGCTTTTTCTTTTTCTCTTGAATTGCATAAAGACTGCTCTTTGCATGCTTTTCAGTCTTCATTTTAGCTTTAGTGTGAGTAACAAATGAACAGATATTTTATTTGCATTACAGACTTCAGCCATAAAGCAGGTCTACAGGGTTTGTTGTTTGGTGCAGGGAGAGCAGGGAAAGCAGCAACCTACTGTTATTTCTGACACATTTACTTTGGGAAGTAAGAGAGGTTTTGCTACCTTTTTATGTAGAAAATGTAAATTGACTCTCCTAAGAGAGCACCCTTCCTAACATGCAGTGTGGCACAGATAAGTTCATAGTACTTTCAGTTCACAGACCTCTCAGGAGATGGCAGTTCATTCAATATTTTCTTTTCAGTGACAGCTCTGACAGCCAGCTTGCCAGGCTAACGACACCACCCTTTTAGCAGGCTGCACTCATAAAGCAATGGAAGTTTGAAGGAGTTAACAGCTCAGTGTCTGACTTCTAGAACAGGGCGAGTTTAAGACTTTTTGCTGCAAAATAGCAAAACATGAGTCACTGCTGTTCTGCAGCCAACAGTCCACCAGGGACCAGCATTCTTCATGACCGTAGGCTTCACAGATTATAAAATCAACTGGCCTTGCGTTATACTTCCTGGAATGCTAAGCAGAAATTTCATTATTGATGTAGCTCAGGGAAAAACCTGCCCCCTTTTCCCCCGCAACGTTTGACACAAGAATTTCCTAACAACCAGTAATGGAAAAGAAGTAACATTTGACTTCTGAGTACATAGCATCCGCAAGTTCTGGTCTGAGCTCCTGCCCTCTGTGCTGCCTGTTCCACCGGATCCATTGCAGATTATCAGAATCTCCTCCTTTCTATCAGATTCCTTAACTGTTCAACAGAAAAGACGGAGGGATTATTTCTTTGGCAAACATCAACGTGAGAGACCCACAGGCATGCAGTGCTACATCTCTGGCCATAGTCATAGTCCTTATACAGCTGTGGTCAGTGAAAGCCTGTGATGAATGCGCTGGACACAAGGACTTCCACCTTGCGGCAGCTCCTTGGCACATATATTTGAGGTGTCTGACTCTAGTACCCCAAGTTAGAATGCCTCAAAGTGGACATCCACCATGGCTCAAGAGCTAAGTAAGAACCACTAAAAATAAATGCATTCAGAAATTTGAAGTATTAAATGCTGACGAGAACATGGAAGACTAGAGGATGTCAGAAGTGTCATTTTTCTTTGGTTTGCTTGGAGCTGTAAGGGGATATCTTCATACACCTGCATCTACAGGTGGGAGGCCTCCCTGTAGAAAAGGTCCCTGTGCCCTTTGCTCAGAAAATCTGGCACGGCTCCCTTGAGTCTTTTCAAACACATTCCAAGAGGGAGGAACTGCGGAAAGCTGCATGTAGAAGCCTAATGACAGGAGCACTGATCCAAGGTGGGGGAGATGTGTCTTCACTACCTTCTAGGCTGAAAGTTACAGAAGGTTGTGGGCAGAAAAAAATGTAAACTCAATGTGTTAAATTTCCAGATGGTTTCTTTGCGGACCCAAGGGATTTCTGTCCCAACTCAATCCAAATGCTGTGCCACACAGACCTCTCTTGTCCAAAGTTTCTTCTGACTTCTGCGTTTTAAAGTTTTAACTGCAGGCAAGAATTGGTGGGCGGTCCCATTTCCTGATCTGTCGGTGATAGTATAGCGCTCTTCATCAGCTCTGTCCTACCAGACGAGCACCTTGCTGCAGAGATCTTCCCAGAAGGGGATGAACTCTACCTGGTGCTACAGCTGGTTCGTGGGTTGCCTGCCCGGGCTTTGAGCCAGGCTGTGCCGACCACACGGTCCCTGGGGCTCCAGCGGAGGAACTGACGGACTCTGTCTGTGTCGAGCAGAACGCGAGTCATTGATGGCACTGATGGCGTGAGATGCTTAACAAAAAGCATCGGACTAATTAGTAATTGAGTAGCAACAGCTATTGCAAAACAATAAATATTTGGTAAGTTACATGTGACCTACATTTCAAAAACTCTTTTCAGTAAAAAGACTGTTTCTCCATGTTTCTAGAAGTTCTGGCCAGCTATGAAGAGAAGATCTTGCTGGCCAGGCTGTAAGTGAGCTACACTTCTGTGTTTATGCCGTGATTTCTTTTGTCTTTCAGGAAAGGATGTGGCTGACAGATGGTACAGTGAAATAAAAAATTACAGCTTTCAAAACCCCGGGTTTTCTTCTGGGACAGGTAAGTTCAGACTGGGGACTGTTTCTTCCACAACACAGCTTTTATTTTAAGAAATTGGCTAGCCAACTTGTTTTGGTATTTTTCAAAAAACTACCTTTATTTCTTAGAAAAAAAATTAGAGGGAAAAAATACTAGAATTTCCTCAAAGTTTTATGTTAGAAACTCACAAAAGGGTAAAAGGAAACTGGGAAATGAGGAAGTAAGCACAATTAGTGGGTTCTTTTAATATTGTATTTTTCCTCAGACTCCAAAGTTTTTAAAAGGCAACACGTTTTTAACGGAAATTAATTTGTAGAAAATACTAAATTGGAATCATATAGGTGTCTTACTAAATGTACTGTGCTGTTGTTTACATTGACATGTGTCTTCTACCAAGTAATATCACCCCAGCCACAGAGATAACTTCAGATAGAATTTGGAGATCAGCCACAGGCCATTGGCTGCATATTGACAATATCTGGTGTTGAATGAACATAAGAACATTGCTCCTTGAATAATGCTCAAGCAAGAGATAACCCAAGTTTGTTTCAGATGGAGAAAATCATGTTCTTCTTCCATGGGGTCTGTCTATGCATCGAGGGTCCAACTGATGGAGCAGCACAATGCAGGGGCGACTATTACAACTAGGCAGAAGAAGCCACAAAACCAATGTTATTTTGAATAGCTGCACATGCAGACACATGGGGGAGTATGAGATGGTCAAAGCAAATGAATAATTGTCGCTGTCAGAACTGCTGTTCACACTGCAGGGAGTGAAGACCATGATTTCTTTGTCGAGTTTTATATCAGATATTCATCAAACTACTTCTTTCGCGATTCTCTTACTAGGTATTCTTATTTGGATATAGGACATGGAAATGGGAATAGTAGTGTAGAACCAGATCAGGCTTTTTCAAGACAAAACGCTAGATGTAGTTTTCTTTTCATGTCCTTAGCTTGTTCTCCTGTTAAAGAAAGAAGCAGTTTTGTACTGTTCTTTCTCCCCCTGTCCGCCCGTGTTAAAGGGGATGTTACAGGTATAGCACCTAAAACGAATACATATGTTTCTCTCTTTTCCTTCAGGTCACTTCACAGCAATGGTTTGGAAGAACACAAAAAAGATGGGTGTCGGAAAAGCATCTGCTAGTGATGGCTCAACATTTGTGGTGGCTAGATATGATCCAGCTGGAAATGTAGTAAATCCAGGCTATTATGAAGAAAATGTCCTTCCTCCAAGAAAATAACTTTTTTTTTTTTTTAAAGGCAGTCTTATTGCTTAATGACAAGTGAACCTGGATTTGGACTTAACAGTGTTTGAAATGAAGTACGATGCAATGAAATTTCCTGTTTGATACTGCAGTTCACTTCTTGTTACAGAGGAAGCAATTACGTGTTGCTTGAGTCGATCTGCACATTAGGTCCCTGTTGTTTCTGAGGAGGCTTCAGTTTATTTGAGGATGAAGTATTTGCAGCATTTCTGAAGGGTAAAATTTATAAGTTGTTTTTCTTTTTTAATAGTTTGCATGAACTCTGTGTCAGCATGTGAGTAAGCACATGTTGGATGTCTCTTTTTAAACAAGTAAATTTATAGCTTTCTGTAAACTGAAGTTACCAGCTTGTAATTATATCACATACTCCCAGTTTTCCAGTATGTTTTAATAACTGTAACTTCTTTGCTCTATCTATACCTCCTGCTACTGCGGGGCCTGCTCTCTGCAGATGGAACATATGCAAAACTTCCCGTATGAAAGGTAGATGTGTAAAATGTAGTGGCATTCAGACCTATATCTTTTTATTAAGAGGCTCTCACGGAACACTAAAATGTTGCTAGCGAAATTGTATCTGTCAAGCAAGCTATAAGTAATGCAGGACCTGAAAGCTACTAAAAATTTTTAAATCTTAGCGTTACCTTTTAGGTGCTAATATTTAAAACCTATTTGAGACGAGTGTATTTCAAGTTGAACCCCCATTTTACAGTTTACAGTATGTACATTGTCTTATAATCAAATCGTTTACTTCTGTTACGGGAAAGCAAGATACTGCCTTTTCTCTTAGATACTTACGCACAAAGAAAGTTTCTTTCATGGAGCACGTTGGATGTTATTTCTCAGTAACTTATTTCCTAGGGAATATCTTCTGCAGGTGTCATGCTACACAGACAATAACATTCCCAAATCATCTCTTGTCTCCTTTAATAATGTCACAGTAAGAGGTATTCCCATGGTCATCATTAAGAGATGTTTACTCTTTGTTCATATCATTCAACAACAGTAAAAATATTTCATGTACTGGATTGATGCCTTGAAAAAATTCAGATTGAATTTCCTTAAAAGCGAGCAAGCAAAAGTTTTGAGGACACTTTTTTCTCTTGTGAAATGTGGATTGGTCCATTTTGGCCAGGTTCATGTACTGTGCTTCAATTTGGGGTTTTCTTTTCTTTGTAAATGTTTCTTTTGACTTCTGCTGAGATTCTGTGTGCCAGAATTTGGTTCATGAAGAGTGCCATTACAGAAATACCTATTTTTGTTTACACAGTTGTAATAAACTGCACTGTTACGGCTTGATTATATGTCACTGTGATGCTGTACGTTACAATCTTTTTGCTGTAACCAAGAATTTAACACATATAATGAACATCTGAAAATTAAATATTTTTGAATATGAATTACTCAAGCCTTTGCTGTTACGCGAGTCTTTGTTGCATAATCTTCAAATTTTATTTCCAGGACATTAACATAGGACATTATTACTTTTGCAACATGGAGCAAAAAAAGCAGCCAGTATGCTAGTCCAGGAAAGAATAAAGAGACCTTCTAAGAAGTGATAAATCATACCCTTTATACAAAGGTTGAGCTAACACTTGAATCCAAAGCTGACGAGGCGTACCTCTCCCTCTGCTGAACTCCTGCTTTGTATCACATTTCATTTCTGCTGCTCCCTCTCTCGGTTGATGTGTTCTCTGTAAAGAATATCCACTCCGCTCCCACTCAGACGTCTGTTTCAGTAACTGCAGTCTTGGGGCCTTCCCCTCTTCAACCCTCAGCTGACAAATGTTGCACCTCCGAATAGGCTAATCTTTTACGTGCGGCGCATTATCATCCCTGAGAACAGGACTTTATAAAAAAAATAGGCTTGCTGCAACTGACATAAAGGTAGAAGCTGATGTTAAATAAATTAATGGCGTTAAAATACTCTGGTTTGTCCTCATGACATTGCTGCTATTGGCCCTATAATTCCTTGAATGGGTGGTGTAAAACTGTATATGTTCTAGTTGAGGGAGTTAAGTCAGAATTTTTCTCTGCCGCCGGCTATGTTTTATTTTAATGTCAGAGAGAACTGAAAAGGTAGGTAAAGAGAGGACAGAAAAAAATAAAACGTTGTTCTTTTTATTTGAAATTATGGTGGCAAGGGAACTTCCAGAGCTCTTCAGACAGAGGATTTTGAGGGGGCATGAGAAGTAATCAGACATGGAAGAAGCACAAAGCCACTCAGATAGACCCAATGCACACTTCATGCACTCCACAGAGCATCCATGTGGGTAAGTATGATTGTAACAATTAAAAACCCCTTGCCAATTTAGTTCTTCGTGACCCAAGATGGTGATGTTGATGCCTTCTGCAAATGAACTCTGGCTGCACAGTAAACCGTGGCGTACGTAGGAGTCCAAATGCAAAGGGAAGTGTAACATTGCTGATGTGACTCACCCAGAAGCCGTATGATTTTTGGGAAATGTACGCTGAAACCTGACTTACCAGCCATCGGTATTAAAAGACTCAGTGTAGGTGTATTGCTCCACTCCCCACCACATCTTGGAGAGTTGTGGAGATTGGGAGGTGGCAAAGAAAGGTTAACTCGTGTCATGTTAGAGCAGAACAAGGCGTCTAAGAGCTTCCTCAGCCAGGGTTGTACACATAGAAGTCACGTTTGCCCTGGGAATAAAGAAAAAGCTGATCTGACAGCTCTGATACCAGAGAAAAATACCTATCTTTAGAGGCCTACAGATGGTTTCCAAGGTCTCTTTTGCAGCAGCAGGAGGAGGAATTCTAGCTGGTCTGAGGTTTCATTTCCAGTCTTCTGGGTTCAATGATAACAAAACACTTAGAGAAGAACTGGGACTGGTCTTTAAAAAGTGCTAAAAAGGGAAGCCTGCATGAACGCATTTTAATTTGCCAACTCCCCTCCTTTATCTTCCCAATAGGACAAAACCCAGGCAATTCCTCCTCCAAAAAATGGAGGATGACATTGAGAAGTGGTGGAAGTACTGTTAGAAGACCACAGATCAGACAGAAAGCCACATCACATGAACAATAATAATAAGCCGATGGGCAACAAATATGTGAGCACTTGGCAGAAGTCTTGCAAATTGTACTTGGAAATGCTTTGCTTTTGCGGAGCTCAGCCACTCTACTGTCTCCAGCTTTAATTTTTCAGGTGGATTTGCCTCCAACAAAGTGGTTGACTTGGTTGGGTGGACTGCAGAGAAGTCACGTTAGATTGGCGGACTGCTGACCTGCAGGCTTTTGCAGAGTGTCACGCGTGCCCTAAGAAGGTTTTTAGCTTTTGTGGGTATCTCTGAGTTTGATAGCCTTTTTTTTTTCTCTGTCTTATTCCATATTTAAAGGCACTTTTCCTTGTGACTGGTTTTAATGATAATTTGAGCTGTCTTTTCAGCATCTGCTCTCTTACCTTCCTACGATATCCAAGCAGCTGACTGCAAAAAAGCCAGGTATGACTTCAGCCGAGGTATTGGACATCTTAAGCTTAAGAAAATAAAGCTTTTAAGAAGGCAAAGTGCTCACTGGCATTTCATTTGCCCCAGGGTGTGATAGTTGTTTTGATCTGTATTAGAAAGCCCAGAACATGGTAATGTGAACAAAGCCAAAGACCATGCCGGTCTGTTGATTACAAACACCAATGCCACTGGCCTTGTGGTCACGGTACATGCCAGTGCCATGTCTTCTCTCCCCCAGAGGCTTTGTGAGGGAAGGGCTGTGTGTAAGATGGCAACTGGAGGCTGTTTGACCCCAAGCAGAGTGGAAAAGGGGCTTGAGATGGCACAAAGAAAGCCAGTGAGCCAAAGCTACCTCCCTCCCATGTTGAACCTGGCACTAGAAATCCCAGGAAACTGCATTTCTAGGGAGAATGCAGGAAAAAGTCAGGGGTTAGGCTGCTCTGGTTATTGCATGGTAGGAAAGTGAAATTTGAAAATGACATCATTATTTCTGTCTCCTTCACACAACCTAAAGACCAAAAAATCTGTCTGCATGTCCAGCTCCACAGTGAGCTGTTGCATCCTTATATCGCCTTTCCCAAATCATGGCAGAAGGAAACAGCTGGACCGACTTTTAGTGCCTTTCAGCTCTCTCTCTGCCTCTCTGGGGGACATCACAAGCTAATTTCTGCTCCCCAAAGCTCTGCACACCAGACTGTGGGTAAAGAATCCACTTCTTGTGACAGGAACACAGAACAGGAGTTGCACTAGGTCTGGGCTTTCCTATACGATCAGCCTGAAGCAAGTCACAAGCCAGAAAATAATCTGCTTCTTTAAGCTGCTAAGGAAGACTTTTGTGAAATGTATTAAATGCTGAAAGTCAAGGAGGAACTTAGAGTCTCCAGCAGTGCCTGGGTTTAGCCTCTCTCTTCCCCCTCTCTGGAGGCATGCTCTGATGGTGGGTGCCCCTGCCACCCTCCTGGGAAGGCCCACATGCCCCAAACAGCGGTCTGGGGGCCAATCGACCCCCTCTCTGCTGTGCTGCTCCCCATACACTTCATAGTTCCTCTGCTCCTTCACAGAGAGTAGGGTCTTCTAGGTGATTTTACCCTTGTACGACCTAGCGGCCACTGTAAAGCTACCTGACGAGGTTCCTCTTCTGAGCTGGTTTACTTTCTTGAGCAGTGCTCTCAGGGTCCTCCACATCCTCCAATAAGAAGTCTTAAGTTCTCTTCTTTTGCTCAAAAATGAATTCTTCTGGCTCTCCTGTCTAGGAGGATGCTGGCAAGACATAGGCTTGCAAGAATCTTGTCATCAATGCAATGAAATGCAGTTGGTTTTTGGTTATACCAGGTGAACTGTAAATAAATAACACAGAAAAAGCAGACATGTATTGCATGGACAGCATGCAGACTAGAATCTGAGACCTTATTTAACAGCAGCCTAGGAAAAGCTGTAAAGAGGTCTGTGGAGAGCAAGAGTATGTTAAAGCACGGCCAGGATGCAGAGCCTGCTAATCTGCAGCTGCCTGGGCAAAATCCAGACTAGGGTTCATATCCCGAGGGGCTGTGAACTTTCAGCCCAACTTCTCCCCTACCCATCAGCTCTGGGGTGCTCACTGATGTGTCGGGAAGGAAGTCTACCTGGCTGTCCATTTTTTGGACACAATCATGAAGGCCTTTTTGCCCTCAGCTGTCTCTGTAGGGCTGCAGTCTCCCCTTTCTTCCTCACCCTCTGGTGTCACGTTAGCAGGTTAGCTGCAGGGAGAGCTGGAGCACTTGGGAAAGCCAGTCTCTAGTCCTGCTGCAAGGCCCAGGAAGGCCTGTAAAGCCCAGGGGCAGGATGTCGCAGGCTTACAGCAATACATCATAGAATCACAGAACAATTTGGGATGGAAGGGACCTTTAAAGGTCATCTAGTCCAACCCCCCTGCGATGGGCAGGGACATCTTCCACTAGATCAGGTTGCTCAGACCCCTATCCCACCTG